TTTCTCTCTGCAGCTCAGCCATGTCCACTTCATGTACCGCCCCTCACCTCATTTCCCGCCCACGTTGCTTTGCTGCTGTCTGCGGACCGCTCTGCAGATCGAGGGGTTCAGCGCAGTGGGGTCGGAGTTCATGCCCTTTCATCACCAGAAGAGCCTGTATGTCCGTGTGCTGCTGGAGAGAGAGCTGGGCGTGTCCCAGTACCTGTGGGCATGTCACTGTGCCGCCACACTCGGAGAGAGGTATCTCCAACGACAGAGAGACGGAGGGAGCGATGGTTTGGAGAAACATAAGGACGAGGAAGAAGGATGACTGGAGCAGAGACATGAATAGATGTCAGAGGAGTGGGAGGGGGAGGGAGGATGATGGAGAGAGGAGTTGTTGAGGCAGTGCAGAAGGGTGAGGACGTTTATCCTGGGAGAGCCAGCCTCTTCCTTAGTGTCTGGGCAATGCTTGTGTGTTCTCATGCCAACATCAAAAACTTTTAATGGAGTTGTTTCTTCAAAACTGAAAAAGCTGATCATCAGTGTCTGTGGTAGCAGACCAGACTCTCATTGCACAAAAGATCAGTTGCACATTGAAGATCCCCTCCAGGTTTTACAGTTCTGTCAGACTCCCGTTGCACAGCAGGGAGATCCACTCCAGGTTTTACAGTTCTGTCAGTGCCCCATGGCACAGCAGGGAGATCCACTCCAGGTTATACAGTTCTGTCAGTGCCCCATGGCACAGCAGTGAGATCCACTCCAGGTTATACAGTTCTGTCAGACTCCTATTGCACAGCAGGGAGATCCTCTGCAGGTTTTGCAGTGTTCATCATGATCGAGTGAATAAGCAACAGCCGGTGCTGAAAGTTTCTTCCCTGTTCCCTCACTGTGAGCACATTGGTCTGTGTTTGTGTAGCTAAGCTATCAGGCACATGTAGTTTTCTGCTCCATGACTGAGTTTTTAAACCTCTGTCTCTGCCGTCGTGCTGTGTCCTCTCTGCTCCCAGGCTGTGTCCCCGGGTCGTGCGGCCAGGCCGGATGCGTGCCGTGGCGGGACGGTTCCTGCGCTCCCTGCTGGCAGACTCGGAAGCAGGAGCCCCGGGGCGGAGGGACATATACAGAGAGATGCTGGAGGAGCCGCACTGCTGCCCCCTGGTGGAGGTGAGGGAGCCCCAGTGTAAAGGGGTGCGACTGTGAGTTGATGTGGACAGGAGTAAAAAGAATTACAGCTGCCCTCCCCCTCAGCTCTGTGTAGTAACTCCCCGACTCTCTCTTCCTGTCTCTGTCTTTCAGTACAGTGCCAACGCTCCTCCCCCCTGTCAGACCCCCTCTGTCAGCGAGCTGGTCTCTCTGGGGGAGTCTCTGGGCTGGGACTCCCTGTGTCTGCCCTCACTGCTGCCCCCTACGGCCCCCCACCTGACCAGTGCTGAGCTGAACCCCTTCTTGGCCTGGTCTGTGCTCTCCCAGCCAGCCTGGAGCCTGCGGCCGCCCGCTGTGAGTCACTAACCTGCTCTGGGCTGGAGTACTACTGTCTGGACTGGACTGGACTGGACTGGACTGGACTGGACTGGACTGGAGAACAACAGACTGGACTGGACTGGAG